ACAGATAGTGTGTTCACAGTGTAGTTTTTCTCATTCGTGAGGATCGGGTCGTCGTCCTTGGTAAATCACCCTGCCATAATCACATGGTCGTGGGTTCGAATCCCGCTTGGTCCTGATTACTCTTGGTTTGCGGGCACCATACCGTGCTTATAGGTTTCATAAACGGTAACCGTTTGATACTGGCATCACTTGATTTCCTCCCCTTCTACGAGGCGATTGACAAATTGAAACGAAAAGTCGAACCCAGAAATCGGCCCGCACGCAACTAAATTGTGAAATCACACAAAATCAATAAATACATTATATTCAAAGAGACAGTTTCAGATTTCAATAAAAAGGCAACACGATGGGTCAAATAAATGGCAGCGGCAGGAATATACCCTAGAAGTAATGCCCATGATTTGTCTAAGCTTTCAGGGCGGTTCTTCATACCAGAATAGTCCTGGAAGCTGGCAGGAATTCGGTGTTTTCCAAATAGGTATCAAAACTTCACTTGCCAGAAATTAGAAACCAGTCGGGCCGACAAGGTCTCGAATCACCCTTATCCCTCTTATACAGAAACTGCTTGCTTTTTAGAAACTGTCCCATCCAGAAACGGCCAGAACGAGCAAGCCTGTCAAGTTCACGTACACAAGGGTAGATAACTCTTGTTCCGGGACAAAACCTTTCTGGCCGGGACATCAGTTAATGTTTTTGGGTTGTTAGTGCAATCATTTGCTGTCACTGAAAATACTACAAATATATTCACATCAGTTTCACCGCTACTGAAATTATTTACACATATAACCACGTAAAAAGCTGGGAAGGCAGTGATATATTTCAAATAGCGTCGAAGGTGTTAAAAACAACCCACTCACTCACTTTTCTTCACTTCTGAATACACTACACCCCCGAATAAACTACCTTACAAAAGAAAGTACTCTTGAAAATTGGGTTTAACGAAAAAATTACAAACGTTTTCAAAACGTTATAAGTCAGAAAACAGTCGCCGAAACACTGCAACCGCAAGGTCCAAAACACAACTATAATACCAAATCCATCAGCTTCGAATAACCATTTCTTGTTTCTGTCATCTTTGCCCTCATCAAACATGGGCGTATACTTTCTTTTGCCCGGCACTTTATACTCACTAGCCACTGCCCTCCCCTCTATCCAATTGTGACTTCAACCCACGCACTTGTAAGCCTTTTTAATCAGCATGACTTTGGCGTTAAACCGGTATATACGCTTGTAATAACCCAGTACACAAGATCAAGATTCCAAGCTGTTTACCCGTTGCCATGGAAACTGAAATATCCATTAGGCTCGCATTGAAAGGCGATGCTAATTAATGCTGCGGTTCTGAAGCACCTGATCATCTGTTGGTAGCCATTGCAGCCAGCGAGTTGTCCATCGCCGTCAGTCAGAGCTGGGCATTGCTCGCTAGCCAGTATTGACGAGACCCGAAGAGTGTCTATTGCGCGTCAATTACAAGTCACGTAGCAGAGCACGAGACGTGGGAAAGCTGATGGCGTACTTTTATTTTCATGTATTTTTATGTCCGGTATGATTCTAATTAGTGCTGGTGCTAACAAGACATAAAATGTTGTTGATGACAAGTTAGGTAAGTAGCTTATGGACAAGAAGATTTATGAGTGAGTGTATGTTGTTGAACGCCGCAATCAGCAGTATTCCACATCGTCGGTCTGTAAATAATAGAGTCTGGACCAAACAAGAAATAATGAAAATTGGAACGTTAGTCACGTGATTGCACATAGGGATAGATACGTTCAAAAAAAACTACCGACAAAAAATAAGGGAACTAATGATTTGAATGTAGCTGTCGTTGATGTGTCATTCGCGAACAACTCGTGTTATCCCGGGACAAGCCGAAAAGCGACTCGTGGCCCTCCTCTGGCCATTTTTGCGACTGGGTTCCTTCTAAGCGCAAACGGGCATAGCTAAAAGTATTGTCAACTCGTTGCGTAATGATTCAAGTATTTCCCCCCATATATCATATGTATTTCAGATACTACTGAAAACAGATCAGACTTTCAGTATTATACGGTGTGATTGAACACACTTAACTGTATCTGGGTTATATTTTTAAATTCAAGTCATATGTAAAATTAAAATTATTCTTGAGGGATTCTTTGACCGAGGTATTTGAAGTCATAAGCGCTTTCTAATTGGTTTGGCGTATTTTCACAAATAACGTTCATCGATAGGGCAGGTTACGGAAAGGGCCGAGTGGTGACGAATAGTTGAGGTGTGTACGGTGGCGTTGCGTCTGAACGCAACATGTAATCACAATGGAATTTCACAACAAGCACGTGGTGCACGTGATGCACGTGGTGCACATGGATACAGAAGCCAAAGTGTGCGCGCCCCATACGGGAACTCCCCATCACTTATGCAACTGAGCCAGGCACGCGATTGAAATATCTCCGATACAGTATCTCAATGACCAGACAAAATGGCGAATTGTGGATACGATATAGAGGGGGGCGTCTATATCCCAGTTGCCCAAATGTTTGGCAAATCAAAACATGTAATTTCTCGACTGTGGGACAAGCACTGTCAAACGGGTGGGACTGCAATGAGATCTGGGCGAGGCTGGCCAAAAATACCATACCTGGCAGGCCTCAAAGTTGCGACTAAAATGGCCGCAATTGCGACCTAAATTTCAATTTGTCTACTGTCTAACATTCAGAGGTAGCCAAATGACTACCTTGAAAAATGTCTTGTGGCGACTAAATTCTATTGCAACATATATAAAGACACAAAAATAAACATGTCTGCTACTAATGTACTCGCAAATAATTCCTCCTAAAGTCAATAATCAACCGAAATGCATAACTATTGATGTAATTAGTATTTTATTTTAGTTGATGGTTTATTGGATAAGCAAGGATATACCTACAGTAAACTACGGTTATAACGGACTCAAAGGGACCACTAACTTTAGTTTGTTATAACCGTAGTTTGTTATAAGCATATAAACAGCATAACTATAGCAAATAGTCGGAACAAAAAATCAGTTCGTTATATCCATCAATTCGTTATAAGCGTGTTCGTTATAAACGTACTTTACTGTATATTATCTAGTAACATAAATTGCATCATTATTCGAGTCACAAATAACAAAACTCTGTAGTTTCCACGAATATACAATTCCAAGACTAATGCTACGACTTGTACATGAAATAGTTATTTGATAAAAGATAATTTCAAATATTGGCTACCTACAATATTGGCTTGACTTCTTGATTTGACCACTGGCTACCCGGAAAAAAATACCTGTAGCCATATGGCTACTTGGTAAAAATATGAACTTTGAGGCCTGCCTGGACAAATCGTCTCATTATATTAATTGCACTAGGCAATAGATTCAAATCTGCTCTTGTTAATCTATCAATCCAGTATCCGTACAATAACAGGAAGGCGAATTTCAACATCTACCGTCAAAACACGGCTCCGTGCAGCCCGCCGGAAAGCAAGGCGTCCTGTGAAAAGTGTGACGCGAACAGCTTTGGTTATTGTGAATGAACATTTGTCAAGCTAGCGATATGTTGACAAAAGTTTGCGTCCTGTTGTTGTTTCATTCGCTAGAATTATCGCAGAAATTTTGAAGTGCGGGAAGACAATGCCAGACCACATCGTTCTCGGGTCGTCACCGAGTTTCTCCGACAAGAAGGCCAACGGACATTGGACTGGCCTGCAAAGTCCCCTTCTGTCCCCAATAGAGCATATGTGGGATGTGAGTGAGTTAAAATTTAACGTCGTGTCAGCATTGTTTCAGCCATATACCTGTGGGGTGTTCTCGGGCGGTGAGACCCAGCACCCGCCAACATAGCTCAGTTTGAGGTAGCTCTTCAGACGGAATAGCGGGCTACACCAAGCGCAACAATACGCAAGTTAATTAATTTTTAATTCAAGGTGGGCATGTATCGCCTTACATGGTGGACACACCATTGATCTACACGCCTGAAAATAATTTTACAGACAAGTAGCGTCATTACACTTTCAGTATCATTTCATCAGTTCCACTTTTTTTGTCGATAGTATAGAGTCCATGAGTATTTCATAATTTGTAGACCCGTGAAGATCCGGGGTAGAATAGGTCTTCAGCAACCCATGCTTGCCGTAAGTCGGGTGGTCAGGCTCGTTAATGCATGTCATCGTATCCCAATAATCATGATGTCCATCACTGGATTGTCTGGTCCAGACTCGAATATTTACAGACCGCCCTCATATAGCTGGAATATTGCTGAGTGTGGCGTTAAAAAGCAACCAACAAACAATCATAATTTGTTATGTAGCAGTAGGTCCGTCAGCGCACATTGGTCCTCAGTCCCCCGGACATTAAAGGATTAACGGTTAAGGGATACGGTTCTCACGGCTAGTGATGAATGTCTCCGTCTAAATGAATGCTGTTCTACGCCATAGTCGTCACTGTTATCAAACTATATATCAGCGATCTGAAACAATCGAGTCTGGAGCAGATAAACCAGTGGTTGATATCATGGGCAATGACCACGCCAATGACGATGACACACAACTAGGCCACACAGTGTTACCGCACGCTCCTTAATTAAGTAGGCGTTCATGATGTTAATCACTGGATTGTCTGCTCCAGACAATGCGTCTATGCTCTCACCGATCTTGCACTATCGGAAAATGAACCCGTGATGATCCGGGTTAGAATAGGTTTTCCGCTACTCCATGCTGCTTGTCGAGAAAAGCGCCTTAAGTGATCGGGTGGTCAGCGTCGCTGACTTGGTTGATGCATGTCATCGTATCCCAATTGCGAAGGTCGATGCTCATGATATCAATCACTGGATTGTCCGATCCAGACTTGATTAATTACAGACCGCCGTCATATAGCTGGAATATTGCTGAATACGTCGTCAAACAAACAAACAAACAAACAAACAAACAAACATTGAAGTCGGTGAGCATGGTGTCCGGGGTGTTGTCTCATACATGGTCCTCGATCTAAAGACAAATCTGACACTGGATGTGAATGAAAAGTTTATTTCTGATTGAAATGATACATAATACGCGTTGGATCGCGTGATGCATGAGTTTGAAAATACCTTTAAAATGTTTTAACAATGGCGCTTGAAATAAAAAGATAAAAGAAGGTGATATGGAGGTCTTTATACACAACTATGAGTATTGTAGATCTTCATGAGCAATAGCTATGGAATTCAATAACTTCTATACCTATATCCTGGAATTTGGCAAAAGTGACAGACTTCATGAAGTGTATCATGAACACTTTCATGATCGACTCCGTGTACGCCAAGATAACATGACAGAATGAAAACTCGAACCTCGGAAACTATGGCTTCAATTTCTCGTGTTCTGTACAATCGAAGCTTAAAATAGTCAAACAACAAGTATCTGAATAAGAAAAAACTAACAAGAATAAAACTCTTCACTTATACACCACTCAGCAAACAGTACATTACCCACAAATGTAGATGCACACACTTTCTTGAACTTTCATCGTATTTAGGTTTTCTCAAAAGCATCAATATTTTTCTGTAATTAAACCAATAGACATGTCTCGTTAACAGCGACTGTAAGAGAGTTAAAGGTTTAAAAACCATAATGAAGTATGAAAGAATCAATAGAACGCCGAGCAGAAAAAAACAGTAATACATATCCTCGTTCGGGGCCAGATAAACCATTCTTCAGGTTGGTTTTGGATATAATTGAAGGTTCTCTGTTAATGATATTAGGAAATAAATGCCCTTGAGAACGTGTGACGCTAGTGTCATATGATCTCGTTAATGCTCTGTTATTTGTTGGGATCATATCCTCGTTTAGGGCCAGAAAATAGAAGAATGTCCTGCTTCGGGGCTGGTTTGATAATTTAAATAAATCTTATTTCCGAAAAGCCTTTTTCGGCACACGTATCATGATAGGGTCTGCGTAGTAACATACAATAAATGCTTGATACCATATCCTTTTTCGGGGCTAGAAATAATATAATCTAAATTTAGGGATGCTTAGAATTTAAAAAAATATATTTCTGAATGAATTTGGAATTTCAATATATATCCCGACGGGAGTGGGAAATACGTGTTTCGGACGTTTCGGGTGTCAACCACCGGGTAGCAGCTGGTGCAATAGACATTATGAAGCTCTTCAGATAAAGACATGAACGATATATGTCCTGGTTTCGGGCTGCTGAGAAGAAACATAACGCCCCGCAACGAGGATTTGTATGATGAATATCCTGTGAATGATACAGGCTATATCGACTCCTAATCAATGTCACACGTCAATCATCCTGTCACTCACGCTGATATAGATTTATATGGACGGGCCCTAAATACATAGTTTGCTATAGTCTACAGTCTCTGCGGTCTCAGAGGGTAACAAGTACGTGAAAAAACAAGTTTCACCGACATAACAAACACTTTGAATTCATATACAAGCATCAGGGAACCGTGCAGACGCTGGTCAGACAAGACCCGTGAGAATATTGATACCACCCCAGTTGAAATAACACATCGCAACAACGCACCCTTCCCTAACCCATTCAACATTGCTAATTTCTATTCCCAATCCAGGTTATAATTATATATATGTGTTTTATTATCGTGTTCATTATTTTCACTCATTACTTTTTTACTCATTAACTGTAAAAATGATGTACTATTGTCCAATTAGTATGATATAACACAATGTCTCACTCGAAGTACACGATTATTGATAAGAAGTGGGACCTTATCAACTTGGAGTGTTCGATTTTAAAACATATGTACTGATTATCTTGGTTTTCGACTTAAGAGACATGGGATAGCAAGGCTTATCTAAATAAGGGACCCCTCAAGTTTCTTTGGTGGAACAATATAAACAAGATCAACATTTAGGCGTCATTAAAAAATATATAATTGTTTTAACATATATAAAATTATTTGCGTAAACAAACTGCACCTCGACAAATCGATTAATTTCTTTTTCAGCAAAGAACACGGGGCCTCTCCTGATAATAAAATGGGTTAGTCTCTGTGATGACGTCTAAAGTATTTTTTTTTCAAAACGTCAAGTATTCGACCTAAATATGTTCAACTGTGTCCTCCCTGTTGATCATTGCTTTTCATTAATTGGGAACTTATATTTAAAAAATATCATTACTATGGATAGTAAATATGTTTGGCCCAACAACAGTTCTACAAATTCAATTTGTTGTTAGTATTCCCTTTCGTTAAATCCGATGGCTTCTACATTGTCAAGAAATATAAATAACGTCTTCTATTGTATGTTTTTATATGTCAGAGATAATCACACGTTTGCACGTTTGCAGATGTTTGGGAATCTGCACGACTAATATTTACTTTATATCGTTGGTGATAAAATATCCCTTTATTGCCCAAACATTACTTTCTAAAAAATATCTTGGGGTTTCAGTTTTGAACAGGTTACATGCACCTTCAAATAAGAATAATATTTCGAGTAATTGTGGGTATTTTTGATTGCATCTGTTTGGCGAAAAAAATACGTACTTTTGAATGAATTCTATCAACACGATATGGTCCTATAGCACTGTTGTACTTGCCATGCTGAAAAAGGGGGCTGGATAATGTCAGGTACAAGGGAAATATAGCCTAAGGTAAAGAAATCATATACGATAAAGAGTATTCCTTAGCCTGACATTTCATATGTCTGAGTTATAAATCTAGAAATCTAGATGGCAAAAAACTTATTTGAATTTACCAAAATAAATATAATTGAGGTCAAGTGAATACACGTGTACAGGAAAACAAATTTATGCTTCAACTTATGTAAGGTCTGTGAAAGATTTAAATAACGTAAACAAAGTTTATATTTAAGTATATTATCATTCCACAAACATCACAGATATTAGCTAAATGCTTGCTCTTGAATGCCAAGCATAGAAAACGACAGAAAGGATAAATCATTTATATTTCTACACGTTCATTTATCCTGTAGTCTCTCTCCCTCCTCGTCTCTTCTCTCTCTCCCTCCTCGTCTCTTCTCTCTCTCCCTCCTCGTCTCTTCTCTCTCTCCCTCCTCGTCTCTTCTCTCTCTTCCCCTCTCTCACACACATACACATACACACACGCTCTGACTTGCACTGTCCCATTGTCAACCGCTTGTAAATTACACTGTATATTGCAATGGACATAACACCTATATACAAGAAATGTACATTTACACGTAAAGATTATATCACATTTTGTTCATCTAAAACTATCAAGAATAAATACATACACCTTTCTCAAACTACAACGTAAGACCACGAATACAAAATTAGGAACAGTGGGTGGTTTTCTTAAGGAACTGTATCTAAAGGTGATTATGGTTGTGGTAAAGGAAACAGGCATAAATTAAAGTCAAAATCTAACATATATAGGTAAACACAAGAATGTATACATTGCGTATGCACATGCTTAGGTGATCAGTTTCAAGTATAAGCTCGATTGGGGCTCGTATGCATATGCATTGGGCCACGTCGTCATATGATTCACTACATATGATCATTTTGTGGGTCAAGGGTAAATAACGCAAACATGGTGTTATGAGAAATAGTAATAAATAGAGCTCACCGTCACCTAGTTATGGAAGCGTAGTAGGGACACAACATACTGTATTTATTACGACATTTGAATCTGGGGTTTATTTGATAAATGCTTTTACAGATGTGACAAACGTTGGTGTGAACAGTGTACACGGAGCTGCCAGAAACTGCGCGATACCTTGCGTTCTACAATATGACACTGAGGAGGTAATTGCCTACTGGTGCTACGGCTGGTTCTGAAAAATGGCATGACAGGAATATTATATAACAAACAAAGATAATCACCAGAAAAATAAACATTACGACAGAAACGTGTTTTGTGATGGAATTGGTTGGCACAAAAACGTAATGGTTTTGGGATGTTTATCTTAACATACGATAGCTGCCGGGAACCGCCGAATATGACAATCGCCCGATTGTGATAATTGGTCTGTCAGAATTCGAAAATCACGAAAAATATATATGTCTACGACTGCGTTACTTCGAGATTCCTGCCAAATACTAGTTATTGAGTGAGTTTGTGAGTTAGGTGTGACGCCACTTTTGAACAGTATTCCAGTTATATCCCGATGTGGCAGGTCTATGTGGGATGAAAGCATGCATGTCTTAGACGTTGACCACTTTGGTGAAACCCACGAATACGGTCGAACGCCTCCGTGGCCTAGTGGTAGAGCATCCCCCCGAAGGTTGTTGGGTCGATCCCCGACCACGTCATACCAAAAGACGTTAAAAGATGGTACTTGTAGTCACCCTGCCTAGCGTTCGGCATTAAGGGTCTAAAACAAGGACTGGTCGGCTCGGAGTCAGTATACTGTGTCTGAGTGGGGTATTCATGTTAAACTGTGGCATGGTATCTCATTGGGCTAGCACTAATCGGCATCAGTCTGGACTAGTACAAACAGCCACACACACATACACACACACACACACACACACACACGCACGCACACACGCACGCACGCACGCGCGCGCGCATGCACGTCGCTATATAAGTGCAATAATCTTGAACGCGACGTTAAACCCCATTCCACCTCACGAACACGGTCATGACATACCTAGAAACATAATCGGGGCACGAACCCACGATATAAGTTTCTGTCGTGCCCAAGGGACGCAACTCTGCACAGTTACCAAAATTAAGCTGACACGCCGCGATGTAACCTAAATACTATTCAAACTAACCACACTCATCCACTTGCAATTGTACTGTCAGGATTTGAATATATGTAAAACAATTTCTCTAACATAAGTATTGCTGCGACAGTTTAAATACCCCCACGGCCCATGACCACAGTAGTAAGGGGCGGTGGGGTCGCCTTGTGGTTAAAGCTCGAGCTCGTCACCCACGTAGTTTTAGTATATGAAGCAGAATATCTGTGTCCTTCGCCGCAGTCATCTTCCCGAGGCAAGGGACTTAGATGACTGCAAAAGTCCGATTGTCCACCCTTGCCGAACCGGACTGGGCTCGATCGTACCACCACCAGGGGCCATTACGAGTTATGTCCCTTCTCTGTCCCTCCTATTGCCCAATCAGATTCCACCTCTCATATCATTTGCATTTGCTTCCAACAAAATGGCGGTGCCAAGTAAAGACGATCTGATCGATATTCAAAATCTAAATTGTGACATAACGGGTTTTACTTCGCGAAGTGCATCAAATCACGTGAGCACCTTGAATAAAAAGATGAAAAGATCTGTTGCCGCGTTGGCGGTACACATGCTTTGCAAATCCTACAATCGACCGAGATCTGCACCGGATATCGATTTCGTGACGCGATTTTGATTGGACTGGACTCGTTTGTTCAGCCAAAATATAACATAATTCCAGCCTAGTTCGGCAAGGGTGGAATCTGGATTTTATAGTCAGTTTACTCCCTTGCCTCGGGAAGAAGCGCCGTGGTGTTTCTGGGCTATTGGTAAAATCGTGGTACAACCACTCACTCATTGACGACAACTTCCAGCATGCCAATCGTCTTTAAACAGTTACTTAAAATGCCTTCAAACAGTAATGACGAGTTTGACGTTGTCAAAGTAACAGCAGTCATTAACACTATTGTGTGAAACAGGTGGCACCGAAATTAACGTTAATTGGAAACACAGTAAATCATTTCAATGCAGGCTGAAATAATGAAAGTGAAATTCATAGAAACATATGAGTAAAGTGAATTTGAAAACACTTTCCTTTGATCTCTCATCCAGCAAATGATTATGTGTCATCCTGCCTATTCTTCTCTAGCTTTACAGAATTGATGTCGTCTTGTAGTGCATGGGTTTCACGTTTGTAGTCAAGCTGAGGGGAACTAACCAGATCTCTGTGTCCTACTCCTGCAATAGCGTCCAGCGCAATGTTTGAAATGAACCAGCACTCAAACGTCAAGAAAACCAAACCATCAAACAAAATAAAAAATACAACAATATCTAACAGCTCTTATCACAGAACTAATTTCTTAACATCAAAAGTCATTAGTTATTCCAAAGCTGATTATAATATCAAAGTTTCAGTTCTGTTCCGAGTTGTTATTTAATATAATAAATAGTCACAAATTAACAAATAAAAAATGTTCAATGACTCACCATTAGGCTAATGTCCCACAGATTCTCATTCATCCTGGCACACGAACTACATCAGTCGAAACTATTTTCTTAATACAAACATCCAATTTAACCTTGACCGACCCACACAATTATTCTATTTGTAACATATTTACAGCTCTCAAAATGAGTATTTTAAGATGGAGCCCTCCGAACATTCCTGGAGACCTGGTTACATCCGTTTGAACAGCAGGAGCTCATCCACAGATTGTAGTCATCCTATTACCGTTTCTGAGAAAATATATCCTTCGTGACATTGTTCGAGGTTGGTGCTTTCTTGTAACATTCAAATTTGGTCATATATATCTGATGCAGTTCAAAATATTCTCCAAAATGCAATCTGAAACACTGTCAACAGCTCTATACTCTGATAACAAGGGCTTTACACGAAGACGTTTATATAAATCACAGAATAGAGTATGTCAAAGAGAAACAGACTGTATCTCATAACTTCTGATCCAGTTCTAGCGCTGAAACGTTAGACAGGGCGTCTCCGTCTCGCGTCAGAACCTTCTCCACTTTAGTAAGTCGTTGTTTAAGTCTTTGCTGAGTGCTGTTGAAATCTGCTAGTAAGCGGGCGAACCGCGTCTGTAAAGTATCCAACCCAGAGTCGATCCTATCCATCTTCTGTTCCGCTGTTTCCTGTTTTTCTTCCTCCTTCCTCATAGCATCCTCATCCAGAAGGTTATCCTTCTTCAGGATCTGTCGTCCACATTCTATCAACTTCCTCTTTGCTTCTGGGTACTCCGCCAAAGCATCCCACAAGTCGTCCTTGGAGAGACAGAAGAGGTCACTGTATCCTAGACTACGTACATTTGCTGTCCTTCTGTTGCCCGTTTTGTTTCCAGCAATGTTCAAAATACTGACCTCCCCAAAGACACTTCCTTCGCTAAGTGTAGCAAACACCGTGTGGCCATCGTCCCCCACAACACTTAGCTTACCCCTTTTGACAATGTACATCTCCCGACCAATGTCCCCCTTTCGACAGATGTAATCCCCGGGACTAAACACCTGAAGTTTGAGCTTCAACACAAGCTCCACCAGGAGTCCTGGCTCACAGTCCTGAAAAATGCTGACACGTTTTAGTGTTTCCAAATGCACATGAATTGCCATCTCGGCTTTCAGTTTGTCTGGCAATGCTGCTAGTACCTCCTCCTCATTTAATGATTGCTTGTTTGTCCACAAATAATCAAACCACTTGATGACTCTTTCCTCGAGTTCCTTGCTGACTTTTCGGAACTCCATGTACTGTTTGACACCGTCCATTTTTTGCTGGAACTCTGAACGAGCTGCGTTCATGTTTGTGATCATACTTCCAACATTTCCCACAATTGTGGCAAAGATTAACACACCGATTAAGAAGTCCACCACCACAAAGAGATACTCTCCATCTCTCTCTGGCTGGGGAGTTTCTCCTATTGTTGTCAAGGTCAAGGTTGACCAGTAGAAACTGTATATATATTTCCGACTGAGGGGCTTGAACTTCGGGTCAGTCACGTTTCCATAGACCCAACCGTCCGAGCCATAACCGATAAGTCCACTTATTGCAAAATATATACATGCATTCCAATGGATAATTATCAATATATACAACACAAGATGAAAAATTCGAAACATATTGGTAAAGCTTGTTCGCGTCTCAGTTCGGTCAAAAAACTCCAGGAGCCTTTTCATTCTGAGGAGGCGATTAAATCTGATCTCTGGTGTGTTCAGTCCAGTGAGGAAATAGAAAAGGTCAGTAGGTAGGACACTCACGACGTCCAGAATGAAGTTCCGAGTTTTCATGTAGTTTTTCCTGAGTTTGGCAGGGTCGGTTACCATTAAGCCTTGTTCCAAGTAACCTGAAATGACACACAATAAATATCAGCTTCTTGTCAAATATTTAAAGTGAATGATTGGGACACTGGTGGCCCAATGTTCAAATGCGCTACAGATCCCCTCACACAGTAGCGTCCCCTGGCTGACGCCTATCTCAGCACCTACCTGCGTTCGTTGGGTTTACCAGAGGAATAAACGTCTAAGACCTGCCTTCTTGGGTTCCCAACTACATCTGTCTGTCTGTCTGTCTGTCTGTCTGTCTGTCTGTCTGTCTGTCTGTCTCTATCTATCTATCTATCTATCTATCTATCTATCTATCTATCTTTGATCTGCAGTTTCATTGTACCTATTATCATACAAATGCATTGAAATTTAAAACGTTCTCAGAAAAGTGAATACAAAGGTTTCTGAAAAACAAATCACACTCAGGGCGAATCTGGGTTCGAAACCCTCGATAAGCGGATCAATGTATTATACCGTCTGGTCACCCTGGGTCGCTAAACCCCTCCCTCAGTTTTATACCAATAAAGAAAAAAATAGGAAGAATATTATAGGTTTTTATCCTAAAGAATTAATATCATAATAAATGAGTTATCTAAATAATCCGTCAAAATGAAATAGAATATATAAAAGCCACAGGTGAATAACAATGTTACAATGTGTTAGCTGCAAATATCTCAACATCCTTCCGAGGCAAAGGAAGTCAAGTTTCCACCCTTGCCGAACTAGGCTCGAATTTCTTGGCTCGATCTTAGCGCCACCAGTGGCTATTACAAGTTATGTCCCTTCTATGCCCTTCCTATTACACAATCAAATTCCTCCTCTCATATCACTTGCTTTTGCTTCAAACAAATGGCGGCGTCAAGTCTGATCGATAATCAACCTCTATATTGTAATAAAACGGGTCTTTCCTCGCGAAGTGCATCAAATCACTTGAGCACCTTGACTAAAAACATGAACAGATTTGGAAAATATCTGTTTACGCCCAGTTGACGGTAAACATGCCCTGCAAATCTTGCAATCGCAGAAATCAGCACGACAGTTCTACGAACCGGATGTCGATTTTGTTTCGAGATTTTGATTGGACTATGCATAGACTCGTTAGTCCAGCCAAAGTATAACTCCATAATTGCAGCCTAGTTCGGCAAGGGTGGAAACTAGACTTCTGTAGTGCGTTAACTCCCTTGCTTCGGGAAGATGATATCTCAATGTTTTCATGCACAGCTAAATAATCAGCATTTCCATGTAGAAAGGTACTAATTACTAATACGGTCAGCTGCATTACATTGATCCAATAGAAACATTACAGAAACAAAATCTCTTTCTTCCAAATACCGGGTGGCTTAATTAACGTCACTTTATATTTTTTATCTCACTCACTCAGACACATGTTTATGTGTTGAAAGTAATTTTAGTATTTAACGTTGCAGCCCGGGGGAAGATTTCACTGAATGTGGAAATCGCGTCTTTGGGTCGGTATGGAGGCCCGACATTTCCCCACATGGACAAACATTATTCCTTTCATCACCTCCAAGATGTTCTTACCTTTGTATTGGTATAAAGTATAGAAGTACCTGGAGGAAAATACCTAACGATGCTGTTTCACAGTACTCCATCAAGGTATTCATTGATACATTCAATGTAAAAAAATGTCAGACTGTGGGGAATTGTCCATTTGGGGAAATGTCTGTGTTGGGAAATGTCTATGTGGGGAAACGTCTGTGTTGGGAAATGTCCATGTGGGGAAATGTCTGTGTTGGGAAATGTCCATGTGGGGAAATGTCTGTGTTGGGAAATGTCTATGTGGGGAAATGTCTGTGTTGGGAAATGTCCATGTGGTGAAAGGTCCGTGTGGGGAAATGTCCATGTGGGGAAATGTCTGTGTGGTGAAATGTCTGTGTTGGGAAATGTCCATGTGGGGAAATGTCTGTGTGGGGAAATGTCTGTGTTGGGAAATGTCCATGTGGGGAAATGTCTGTGTGGGGAAATGTCCGTGTGGGGAAAATGTCCGTGTTGTGAAATATCCATGTGGGGAAATATCCTTGTGGGGTAATGTCTGTGGGAAAATGTCCGTGTGGGGAAAGATCCGTCTGGGGAAATGTCCGTGTGGGGAAAGATCCGTCTGGGGAAATGTCCGTGTGGAGAAATGTCCGTGTGGGGAAAATGTCCGTGTTGTGAAATATCCATGTGGGGAAATATCCTTGTGGGGTAATATCCTTGTGGGGTAATGTCTGTGGGAAATGTCTGTGTGGGGAAATGTCCGTGTGGGGAAATATCCTTGTGGGGTAATGTCTGTGGGAAAATGTCCGTGTGGGGAAAGATCCGTCTGGGGAAATGTCCGTGTGGAGAAATGTCTGTGTGGGCAAATGTCTGTGTACGGTAATGTCAATGTGGGGAAATGTCTGTGTGGTGAAATGTCTGTGTTGGGAAATGTCCATGTGGGGAAATGTCTGTGTTGGGAAATGTCCATGTGGGGAAATGTCTGTGTGGGGAAATGTCCATGTGGGGAAATGTCTGTGTGGGGAAATATCCTTGTCGGGAAAGATCCGTCTGGGGTAATGTCCGTGTGGAGAAATGTCTGTGTGGTGAAATCTCCTACACTCGGTTGGTCCACCTCACCTGTTCTGAACTGGACCCACATGTCCAGGAGATAGAAGAAGTCACTGAGATAATCGAGCGTGAGCCACAGCGAGAGAAACTGTTCCTGAAGCTCCCAGAACACCGCCCTGGCGATGATGAAGACGACGTTGTATGTGACTGCCAGTGAGATGAAGAACAACCAGCGATAGTAGAACCCCTCGGACGGGTCCACGTAGAAGTGCTTCCAGTACCTGCAACACAAACCAGCCACATCATCACGAGTGAGTGAGTGAGATGGGTTTAACCCCGCTCTGAACAGTATCAGTTACATCACGGCGTGGCAGTTTCCCATCATAGGAGCGCCAGGTCACAAAGGTCTTTGAAGCTTCCCACTTTAGTGGATTACAATTATCCTTTCCGGAAAATTGCTTGAAAAGTATAATTTGGGCTTAGGTTTTACCTAAAAAAATAAATCGATCAATGGACATGCTGAAAACTAACACGCTTTGGGTCCCAGAAAATGTATTGGTTTCCATTTCCTAAGAAACAAAATTGCTTAAAGGCTAACTGAAAACAATATACTGGTACTATTACAAATTTCAAATAGCTGGCTCCTTACATGGCTAGGCTATCTGCGTGTCCAGACCCGTGAAGATTCCGTGGTTAGAATAGATCTTCAGCAACCCATGCTTGTCGTAAAAGGCGACTATGCTTGTCGTAAGAGGCGACTAACGGGATCAGGTGGTCAAGCTCGCTGACTTGGTTGATGCATGTCATCGATCCCAATTGCGTGGATCGATGCTCATGATATTAATCACTGAATTGTCTGGTCCAGACTCGATTATTTACAGACCGCCGTCATATAGCTGGAATATTGCTGAGTGCGGCGTTAAACAACCAAACAACCTGCTTGTCAGGACGAATAAAGCAAAAACATTAACGTCAGAGAATATTCTCGATTATCCGTTGAAACAGATTCCATTTGGCGTGAAAGGCAAAATAGCAGTGGACATTATATGAATGGATCACTGAAAGTCAGTGATGACACCAGGTAAACACGTGCATACAGCTTACCTTGGACATGCCTTCTGGATAAATCTAAACTACTCTCAAGTTCCAGTTAAATCTTACGGTAATCTCTCTTCTCTCAAGCAATGATCAAAATGTCCATGGTTCCAATCAATATTTGGTGTATGTTTGCTTCTTAAACATTACTTTTCATTCCACGAAAAACTGAATTCATCCTGAACACTCGATGTCATCACTGATTTTCACTTCATATAATTTTCCTCAATATTTTGTCTTTTACACCCTATAAAATCTGTTTCGTTGGATATTCGAAACTGATGACGTTGACGTGTTGAATTTCGTTTGTGCTACTTCATATAGATGCATGTTATTTCCCTAACTTTCACAATAATAACGTCATCTGTTGTGTACATAACAGTGTTGAATAAAATATATAAAAGTGGTGACCCTTCCCCCGATTCATCCTGTAGTGGGCGCCAGAGAGCAGCGCTCCATCCCACAAAACAGTAATTTGTTTCTTTGTAGGGGGTTATAAATATTCATATTCATACGATTGGATTGTCACCAAAACTAATTTCATTGCCATGTATCGAATATCATATGTTATTTGATATACCTGAACTATGAATATACTGCTACCAACTGTATAACCGATAAATGACTTTCTAATTTAACAACACGACGCGTCTGATTTCTATGCATATGTTGCCATTCCCATGTTTGTTGATGACGTGCTGTGCGCTCTTCTATGCTGATCTAATGATGATAGCCGTACACTATGTACTCACTAATATACGGTGTGCTACATGCAGAGAGAGCACGCATTTACTTCAAATTCACTATGACTTTGGAATAAACTGCCGGACAAAAGAAAGTACTCGTCTATACTTGATGGTGGCTAAGATGCTAAGACGACATGGTTATTCGACGGTTTGTTTGTTTGTTGTTTAACGCCGCACTCAGCAATATTTCAGCTATATGACGGCGGTCTGTAAATAATCGAGTCTTGACCAGACAATCAAGTGATTGATATCATGAGCATATTCGATGGTGTTTGATATGATACAGGTATCATTGCGTTTTTTACCTTACGTTTACAGTGTTTGGGCGACTGTTTTCAACCTAGTAACGTTGGATAAGGTTTGTAATTGTTTGGTCGAATACAATTATCAAGTGTATGCTTTATTCAAATAACGTCGCATTATACTTGTTATGAATGTCGCGTTTTGGGCAACCTTTTTTCATCACCTTTAACTTTCACTCTTTCATTGTTTTTCATAGTTGTCCATTTTTCCAGATTCAGAAAAGCATGCTTTCTCATGCAGGCAATTTATAAAATTCTGATTGGTCAATCATAGGTTTCAAATCACAATTATGTGCCTCTGTTCTATATTTAAAACAATATTTGTGACAAGGGATGGGTTTAAGTAACACAATCACACACACACACACACACACACACGCTCACACACACACACACAGATACAGAGATAGTTTGATATAAACGTATTCAAATAACGTCGCATTATACTTGTCATGTATTGCACGTGCATGGGCTAAACCTCTGGTCGCGTTTTGGGTAACCTTTTTCATCACCTTTAACTTTCACTCTTTCATTGTTTTTAATAGTTGTCCATGTTCAATAACTGTTCCTCACATTGTCAACATACTCAGACATACTTGGCATATATTTTGGGTGACACCCACCATACCAAGATGACCCTTCAGTAATACAGAGACAGGACCCCCTCCGTGGTCTAGTGGTAGAGCATCTGCCCGGAGAGCGGAAGGTCCTGGGTTCGATCCCCGGCCGCGTCATACCAAAAGACGTTAAAAGATGGTACTTGTTGTTACCCTGTCTGGCGCTCGGCATTAAGGGGCTAAAACAAGGACTGGTCGGCTCGGAGTCAGTATACTGTGTCTGAGTGGAGTATATATATGAAATTAGTTATTTTTCTAAAACAGAGTAAATGCATTGTAAATTCTGAAATGAACAGTTCTTTGAAGATGCGATTGATGGTACGTCGCTGGTGTCACGTGGGCGATACGGGGATGTTACGGGAGTGTTACGGGGTGGTCAGTTTCTTATTGACACCTATCCTGCATATATATCCTAGCCATGCGAAGAGCCGGAGTCAAATGCCCATTGATCTTCCAACTATGGCGACAGAAGCCAGGAATAATATTTAGTTTGCTTCCGATGTAGTTATCACGCTGGCCCGTGCCACATTTATCTGGCGAGTGTTTAACCTTCACTGACAATATTGTGACTACAAATCGCAGTTGAAAGCATGATACACTGATAGGTCGGCGTTAAGACAATGTTATGCCAATAAATATTTGCATGACAGGATCCTTTCCTCTTATTGACTGAAGCGATTCACAAAACATTCCTCCCTTCAAGAGGTATATACATGCATAGGAGCTCATATAGCCTAACCAAAAGTATTACAAATTATTTTAAGTGGAAAGGTTCATCTGAGCAATAGTCGACCATTGAACCGCTGGCGCTATTAAAGAGTGCCACTGTCACTGAAAGGCCGGCTAGATCCAGTGGAATAACAAACTGAAACTAATTTTCTCACTTGAGCAAGCGAAAGTCAATAGTAAGGTTAGACCTTCCGAACGGCCATGACACTTCAGTTAGATAGAGGAAGGCGGAGCGGAAAAGGGTCGTGACCACAAACCAGCGCGAAACAATATCCTTGCTATCCTTGGCTTAGACAAACAAGGAGTCTACGCTATGGTTAAACTTCGTCGATACTAGATGAAGGAAATGATAAGTAAACAACGCAAATCATATGATTCAATCAACCCCCAGGACGAATCTGGCCATTGAGAAACATCGCTATGGTTGTGATAAGGGAAAGATTTTTTTTGAACAGGGTTACGACTTGACTAGCACCCTATTTCGCATGGCGTCCTGCTGGCTGAGCTTATATCAAGCTTAGTCCCGTCTGGGAGAATAATTGGTCACTTATCATCTAACCAGAATAAGATTAGAGCAAGTGTTCGGGGTTTAGAATGGCTCCCTTCTAACTTCCGATGTGCAGCAATCATTGGACATACAGACTCGGTCAAACCGAGGCTTGATTAAAGCTTGAAGATGTAGCAGCGATGGAACTCTTCATGTCTTCTAATGCCCTTTGCTTTCTGTGCAGTAATTTACTTAAGTAGACATGCATTCAATTTTCAGCTGAACCCAAGTCGAGTGGTTTTTGCTGGTTCAATCAGGCTATTCTCGAGTCTACATAACATGATCGTATACTTGTGCACTCAGCGTACAGAGTGTGTCCAGATTCAAGTATTGTTCTTATGTCAAAAACCTTATGAAATGATCCGCGCATCACCTTCTGAAAAATGTTTATTGGTTTGCCTTTGCATGTGTTTGTGACGGGTGCCACCGGTGGGCCGGATATGCTAACCTTTTCGCGAACACCCGGTTTCATCCCTACTTGGTGGTGGTTCATGGACACATGATCCTGTTGTGGTCGGAATTACAAGGTAGGCACAATTTTTTGATAACAACTTCTTTAACTACAGTAAAAGCGTCGTTTCGGTATAGATCCTTATACCGTTGTCAAGCAAGACAATCCAATCCATGGTTGGAATTGTACAATCGATGCTATAGAAAGAGTTTGTGGCTTTTAGTTATGAATAGTCACAGTTTGAAATACCACAATTTTTTATATCTAATTTCATTATTATTACATTTGTTTAGTTACGCATATGCACTGACTTGAAAGTTTTTGTACGATCGTAACTATGGTGACACGCCGTGATATCAAACTCTCATGTCATGGCCACGTGAAGAAGCTTGGCACTGGGTAAAGACATCATTGTGAGTTTATCCTTAGTCAGGTTTCAGGCGGCCGAGTAATCCTGTTAGCAGTTTACACAAGAAAATAATCTCGAAAATTCGAAAAACAATATTAATCAACGACCGAATGAACGTCCAAATCTAGAAAATTCCTAAAAAACACAGTATTAATCAGTGACTGGATGAACGTCCAAATCCTCACGTTCTGAGAGTTTTTGCAAGCTATCGAATGCCATTCCGTTTTCCTTTCTTGATAACCCATTCCAAGTTTTAGACTTTCTGCCGCAATTGCAAACAAAAACGAATCACGACATGGAGCGCCTGTGGAACTTATACCCTGAGATGGGCCCGAGGAGAGCGAAGTGTAGAGCACTACAGAAAAGGAGCATATCAAACCGGTGA